ACACACACACACACACACACACACACACACACACACACACACACACACACACACACACACACACACACACACACACACACACACACACGCCACTGGGGTGAATTGCCCCATATAGTCTCCACACACATATACATATGTACACAGAGCCACACATATATGTGTGTACACGCACACACACACACACACACACACGCTCTCTCTCTCTCTCTCTGGGGCAAAATGCCCCATATAGTCTCCATCCATATAAACATAGCTGCATGCACGTGTGGCTATATCTATAGCTCCCTATATATGTATACATACAAATATATGTACGTGTTTAGGTAGATGCACAAAATACACTATATTATCTCTTACTATTATATAAATATATTATCTGTATTTTATATTGTATAGAATGTTATATAGTATACTGTAGTCGCTGTTTATTATATAATACATAAAGTAGCATATAATTTATCTGCATACATAGTCTATTATAAAGTATAATAACACATATATACTATAAAATATGAGAGAGAGAGAGAGAGAGAGAGAGAGAGAGAGAGAGAGAGAGAGAGAGAGAGAGAGAGAGAGAGAGAGAACACTATAGTATAGTATACTGCCAGAGCCAAGTGCCCCCTATATGTATGCATACCTGTCTATGTCAGCATGTAGGCAGGCAGGCAGACAGCTGTGAGTTTATAGATAAACCAATTGCTGGGTCCACTGGGACCAATTGCCCCATATAGTGTCCTCCATCCATATAGACATACAGGCATATATGCACGTGTGCACACTCACACCCCCACCCTATAGCTCTATCAACAGCTATAGCTGTCTTTATATACCTGTATATACATATAGATACATGTATTTATAGCTATTGACACCGGTGGGTTTTGTTTGTTTTGGGTTTTTTTACATGGCAAGATACATGTGGCCCGTAGAGTCGCCATCCATATGAACAGGTATGTGAGTGCGTGGTTGCATATGCGTGTGTGAGTGTGTACACACACACACACACACACGTGTGCGCTCACTTTCTCAGTCTCTCTCTGTCTATAGCTACACCTACAGCTAAATCTAGTGTATATGAACCTAGATATAGCACCTTATGTGCATTTTTACGGGGG